GGTGTGGATGAAGGATCAGCAGCAGTAAGGCTCTGCAATATTCCACATTTGTTCTGTTTCTAAGAGGAAAACGTAACGTCAGTCTCTCTGTAGCTGAAGCTGCTGATTGTTTATCTGATTAATGACAGTGATGGAGAACATGTGTGTTTTTATTTCAATTTAATTGGTACAAGCAGTGTTTAAATGTGATTTATAAATAAATCTAACACAAAGATGGTAATAATTTCATGATTAAGCTTCAACTATTAATTTGCTGCCTAAGTCTGAAGACACTGCATTGTATGGCAGGATGATTTGCATTTAAACTGGAATTACAGTAATTTATATTTGTGTGTGAGGTGGGGGTGTATGTTTAATTGCTCTTTGAGCTACTTTTGCCTGAACCTAACACTGTAAGTGAAACAAGGCATTACTTGAGTTGCTGTATTCACGGACCCTGCTCTGACACACGTCTGCTTTGGGATCGCACGTTTGGGTCGTCGGCCGCGCGCGTCTGCTGAGTGCAGCAGCTGAATGAACGTCCATTTGGGCGATGGATCACTTCCTGGCAGTACAGTCCCATCTGAAGCTTAACTGAACTTTTTATCTCTTTCAAGGCCGGTCAGCTCGCGGTGAAATGGCTGCGTGCAACTGGTGAATGTATGGCAGGTTATGTTATGATATAATTGGATCGCGGCTGATCCTGACCCAATTAAAAGCCCGACACGACCCGGCCCGCCCATCCAGCACATTATCATGGCCCGGCTTGCCCCGAATTCGTGTCGGGTGGGGCCGGGCTTAGGGTTCGGGTTAGAAATGACAGCTCTATCCTGCAGTATGGGCACACAAAGGTGCAGGAGGTGCTAAACAATTTTAAATAATTTATTTTAAATAAAAATCCCATGCCGATTGTGCGGCTCATCCATCAAGCAGCCAACTGTGTGTCATGTCCAATCTTATTTTGAAAAACCGCGATAGAGCTAGACCGCACTAAAAGAACCACGAAGTAGCGAGGGACTACTGTACATAGTTCTGTACAATGTGTAGATGTATTGTATTGATGGACACATTTCTTGCACGTATTTCATGTTTGTGAATGAGAAATGGCTCCCAAACATTTCACTCAAAATTAAAAACATTACGGTACCTTTTTATGTTAATTGGGCTGTATGCATTTAAACTTTTATTTTACCAGGAAGAAATCCACTGAGATTATTAATCTCTTTTACAAGGATGTCCTGGGATATATGCAAATACAGCAACACAGTCTTAATAACATTAACAGTAGTATTAAAATATTTACAACAAAACATGCATTACGT